TCACCTCGCAATCGATATAGTGTAGTGGAGACGTGAACATTGCTGCCACGCTGGCACGTGGACACGTGAGATTGAATATGGCGACAAGCTTCCGACTTTGCATCAGTCATGTCGCTAAAGTGTCTTTTTACCTCAGGTTGTGTACGAATACATGTGATATGGCATAGTTAGGTCTGTCTGTCTTGCGCTGCTCGAGGCCGGTCTGGGTATTATCCTCCTCGAAACCAAATCCACTCCTCCTCCCCAATTCCTTGCAACTTGCTCCTAACAATACACACTATATAGCACGCTCTTATCGCGCCCCCGCCCCCCATCCCCCATTAAGATTAACCTCAGCAGCGCGCTCCAAGGATAAGAAAACCACCGTCCGTCTTCTCATGAAATATTATACACGTAAAGCCCCGATCCATATCATTGAAAGTACCACCAGCGGGAGAAGCATGTTGACGATGACAGTCTAGTCGACTGGCTCGCGCAGCATTTTGGAGATGTTCTTGTGCATTTGGGCATACTTGTCCTCAAATGTCCGTTGAAACTTCTCACATGCCGCCCACATGGGATCGCCCTTTTTCCAGTACGTGTAGCAGTTTTCGAAAATCTGGCGCACGTCGGCTGCAAACTCGTCTTCTGTATGGTACTGATGTTGCGACATCTTGAGCTTGACTGTGTTCAAGTCCATGGGTTTCTTCACCTTGTCAAAGTAATCGGGTACACCATCCTCGGCTGGGTCGACAGGTTCCTTGAATGGACCAACAAGTCTCGTCCAAAAGCCTGTGGCGAGTCAGCTTGTATGCCTACATGTCATGATTCGCCATTGCTTGACCTACCAGGTCCTGATAACATTCTATCAAGCAGATCGGAACAGAACTCAACCTTCTGCTGGGTCGTGATTTCGCCACTTGGGCCCGGAGCAATGCTGCGTCGTTTCTGGATGACGGGCTTTTGGCGGGGTGCCGATGCTGCTGCCGCTACAGCCGCCGCCTTGCGGACCGGGGGAGGTGGCGCGCGAGAAAACGCCTTGTCTCTATTTTGAGACGCAGGTAACGGCGCAGAGGCCCGCCTGTTCTTCTTGGACATGTGTTCTTGTTCTTCTTCACTATCTTCCTCCAGATAGTGCACACTCTTTCTAGGAGTAGGCTCGGCGGACGCAGTATCGGCCGGTGCTGCAGGCGGCGTAGGCAGGTTCTCGAGTGAACTCATCGTCACGACCAGCTCGCTCAGAACCTCCTGAGGGAGAGACTTGGCAAACTCGGCTTTCTTGTCAGATGAGCGCATATACTCTGCCGCCCACGAGAGAAGGAGCATCCGAATAGTTGAGCCCTCAGGGGTGTCCTTCCAAACCTGGACAAGAAGGGGAGTAGCGGGGATGTTCTGCGTGAGACGTCTGCACTCTTTCATTGCGTCAAGACTCGTATCGCAGAGACCATCAATACCCAGTTCGTGACCCAACTTCCACACACCAACAAGTGCCTCATAGGACGGAAACGTCTCGGCATCCTCTGAGACTTCTCCAGTGAACAGAAACAGCTGAGCCAAGCCGAAGACCTCCGGTGTGTACTGTGGCAGCTTCACCACATTCTCAATGGCCTCGGAGGCCGCGTTCTGTCCTTTGAAGTAATCGTGGTAGTATTTTGATTTAGCACACAAGAAGTCTCTCTGAAGGCCAAACGGCTTCTGTTCGGTTCCGACGAGGACGATGGCGAACGTTGAGTGTGGCTGACTAGGAGTTGTTAGATCAATGTGCTTGTGACATCAATGTCATCACCTACAGCCATGAGAACGGCATCTCCTGCTCCTCCGTGGGCTCTTGCTTGGCCTCCGGAGTGGCAACCTCGGGGATGCCATTCGAGGCGGCGACCAGCGCTTCGGTTGACATCCTGGCCTGTACGGTGATGTGGATCGACCTAGATGGTGTTAGTCGAGCTGAAGAAAAACTCCGATTCGTGACAGCCACTCATGGATCTCATCAAGCAAGAATGCATAAAAGGAAATGGGCATATGAGCGTCCAGGTGATGAGAGAGAGACTACTTTATAACATTGTTGTCGTTCACGGGAGTGAATCGTCGGCATGAGAGTGAGGTTGTGTGAGTGAATCACAGCATGAGCCAAGCTGTGGTGTCTGTCTGATGCCAATCGGGGTGTATTCGGACGCAGACACGCGGGAAAGAAAGTTTCTCGTATACAGGGGCGTGAGGGATGAAGACAACTTACAATGGTGTTCAGGTGTCGACGAGTATGATGAGATACAATGCGGAGCTTAATGAACGAGGTAGCTGACGAGGGACAGGTGGTCGAACTGTGGTCTTACAATCGCGGGTAATGGCGACGAAAAAGTGAATAGAATACAACGCAGACAATGGGAGAAGATGTGTGACAATGAGATGGTGTGTTTGATGGCATCCAAAGGATGAAGAGGAAGCGTGTAGTTGAAAATTTGCTCCCTGGGACGTTCTTGCCAGACAGACTCAACCTTGAGAATGAAGCGGGAAGGTGTGAAACGGCGGCACCTGCTGTGGCTCCCCGTGACTGTAGGTGGCCTGTGCGGGAGCTTCCTCAGGCCCATTGTTCACGTGTTCCCCGGCGCCCTGGTCCTGCCAAAATTGAGGACCTGGGAAGACCAGCTTACGCCACAGTTGCTGTCACGGTGCACCGCCACTTGACCATGAAAACTAGAAGGTGGGGACGTTTCCATCTCAAGGTCTCTGTAAACCAAAGAAGGTTCTTCCATCACCTCCTGCTCGTTGCTGTCATCGATTCATCAAGGATCTTCGCAATCCTCCGCTCTTGCCCCGGCTGCAGGGCCATGGCTAAGCGAGGTCGACCGTCCATCAGTACCTGAGCGGAAAGTGCGAGTGCATCCTGTCACGTCCCAGGAACTCGGCTTCGCAATTGAAGGTTGGCAGGCACGCAGGCATGTGTTGGACTTTATCAGTCTCCTTATCCTCGGAGCTCGCCGTAGTCAACGGCCACACTTCCCAAAAAAGTTGTCATCGCGGACCATTCCCCTTGGTCAACAGACAAACACACCGCGACAGTCAACACGCCTTGTCGAATCGCATTGGCGCTACTGCAAACCACTCTCCCGATTATCGCCCCGCGCTCTAATTGACCTCTCACGTCCCGTATCTCGAGCAGGTGGGAGTGCTACCCCCCACAAATGGGCCCTGGTCCGCCGACGGCAACGACGGCTGACAAGACTGACAAGCACTTTTAACTGTTGGCCAGCTTCCTTTTCAAGTCAAGAGCATTGCCAACATCGCTTCCCGTGTGGAGATTGGAACCTTTTTTTTCTTCCAACCATGCTGGCCCCAGCTGGGAAGATAGATAGAGAGGAGACTGTGAATATAAAGTGTCGCGAAGCTGCGCAAGTTGATCCAATTGTCGTTGTGTCGTTGTGTCGTTCCTGTCCCCTTGCCTCCGGTCTCCGTCAACTTTTGTGAGAGAAAACTGCAAAATCAGTCAATCCCCCAAACATGTCTCGAACAATTGGACTTTTTGCCGTCGCTGGCCTGTTGCGCACGGCCGCTGCCGGCCTTTACCCGGGACTGACCACCGCCAACCACACCTGCGCTCTTGGTAAGACCTCGGTGAGCCCTTGAGGGCCTACGACTCAACTGACGATGCGCGCCTCACAGTCGAACCCATTCTGTCTTGCTCTTGCGGCGCAAACCCCGACAAGGTCGACACTTGCTGCGTTGAGACGTACGGAGGCTTGGTGGTATGAATGAATTCTGTCTTTTTTAAAGATGTTGGTGAATTAACTGTGAATTTTTGTGGTGGACAATAGCTCGCGACGCAGTTCTGGAACACCCACACCGGTCTCGAGGCCGAGGGCCAAAAGCTGCCCGCCGACGCGTGGGGCATCCACGGCCTGTGGCCCGACTTCTGCAACGGCTCGTACACCCAGTACTGCGACCTCAGCCGTCAGTACGACCCGGCACCTTCCCCCAACACCACCACCGGTAAGGCGGATGGCACTCCGGTCCCCGCTTGGACCGGCGTCTCCCTGGATGAGTTCGTCAAGCCCTTTGAGAGGTTTGATCTTCTCGAGTACATGAAGAAGTAGGTACCCTGGTTCATGAACAAAACCCTCGCCCATCCAGAGAGAAACATAATCTTACAAAACTCCCCGTATTTTAGATTCTGGATCGCCCAGTACACCCCCAACTGGGTCCTCTGGGCCCATGAATTCTCCAAGCACGCAACCTGCTTCAGCACCTTTGACGTGGAATGCTACGGCCCCAAGTACCAAGAACACGAAGAAGTCGTCGACTTCCTCGAGACCGCCGTCCACTACTACCAAGAAACCCCGACCTGGAAGTGGCTCGCCGCCAAGGATATCACCCCGTCCAACAGCACCGCCTACTCCCTCTCGGACCTCCAGGCCGCCCTCAAGGAGGGCCACGGCGCCGTCCCTTACCTGGGCTGCTACGGGCCCCGGTACAACGCCACCGAGGCCGGCAAGGGCTCGCTCGATAACGGGTACACCCAGCTCACCGAGGCCTGGTACTACTTCCACGTCCACGGCAAGCCCCAGCGCGGGGACGCCGTGCCCGTCGCTGCTGATGCTAATGGCGGGCGCGTGACGAACTGCGCGACTACGCCTGGTGCTATCTGGTACTATGAGCGCTCTGAGGGTTCGGTCCAGTAGGAGCATCGTATGGTGTTGAGCATGTGAAAAGCATATAAACATACTAGTAATCAGTAATCTCCTGCTGCGCTGCCATTTCTGAACTTCAGTGTATGATGTGAATACTAGATGCAAAAAAACCACGTTGAATAACTACGCAGGGCCGATCTAGCTTTTTGTCGTCCATTGAGTTAGCTTAGGAGAGCCAAGGTAACCAAAATGCTATGTACCGAGATCGCCTCTGTCCTTCCCAACCCCACGCGTCAGCTAGTTTGGACGATGGGTATTCTACTCGTACAGTCCTTCCTTCAGCTAATAAAAAATCCCCAACGCCTGTTTGATGCGAAACTGTCCATCTCGAAAATGCATCTACTCCTCATCATCACCAAGCTCCTCCACAGCTGGCGCGACGTAGCCGGGGCGTTGCGCGGGCTGGGATGCAATCTGCGTCTCCGTAGCTGTTGTGGTCGCGGAAGCCGGGAGGGGCTGGCCAGTGGATGCGGCAAAGGTACCGCCGGCGCTCGAGGCGCCGGCGGATGAGGCCTTCTTCTTCTTGCCCTTCTTGGGAGCAGTCTATTTTTTTGTTAATCATTGTCCAATGGCGTTCATCGCACAGGGAAAGTGGCACTTACGTCGTGCCAGGCCCAGACGGGCTTGAAGCTGTCCATGAATGAGACGTCCTCCCACAGGTTGGGGAACAGCCAAAGGCCGGGAGATGCGACAAAGTAGGTGATGCAGAAGAGAATGACACGGAAGATGGCCATGAGGAAGAACAAGCCGAGCAAGCCCAAGAATCCCCAACTGAGGTAGTAGACGCCGAGACGAAGCTTAAGGGGCCAGAGGGGGTAGCAGACGACGATGAAGATGAGCACGAGGGCGAGGATGGAGTACAGCTTGCGCTTAACCTGGCTGCCCTCCCAGAACCACGCGTAGTACATCTCTTCCTTGGCCTCTTGCTGAGGCTCGATGCGGACGGTCCAGAGACCCTTGATGCGCTTCGTCTTCTTCGGGCCGTGGTCGTGGCCTTCGTGGGGGTCGGTCTTTGTGACGCGCAGGGCAAGCATGGACATGGGAAGAAGCTTAAAGGTGTTCTCGAGAGACGCACGATCGGTGATCTCGGGCAACTCGGGGTTCTTCTTGCGCGCCTTCTCGTAGGCGGGGGACTGGAGAGCGCGGAGCGCACGCTTGACTGTAATACGAATGTCAGGACTGGCTTGAATGACACAAATCACGATTATTCAGTACTTACCCTTGAACATGTCCTTGCGCTCGCCATTGAGAATACAGGTACGGGGCTTCAAATCCTGGGCGCGCAGGAAGCTGGCCAGCGCAAGCGCAACAGGGTTGGGCGGGCCAGGCCTAATGGGCTGCGGCTGGCCCTGCTGCGGCTGCTGCTGCTGGTGCTGATGAGGGTGAGGGTGCTGATGACCCTCGTGGTCATGATCGTGATCGTGAGCGTGATCATGGCCGCCCTCTCCACCTTCGCCGCCCTGTTGCTGCTGCTGTTGTTGCTGCTGCTGACGGATGGCCATCTGCTGCTGCTGCATGGCCTGCTGTCGGAGGTGGTTGAGGAAATCCGGAACACTCATGCCGGCCTTTTGGGCATCAGCCTCTATTTGTCTGCGCATGGCCGCGATCTGCTCAGGCGAAGGCATGGGCTGGCCGTTGGGGCCCATCTGCATAGGGCCCATGGGGCCGGGCATTGGCATCGACATCTTTGAATGTGGGCTAGTGCTCGAAGGCAACCAGTGTTTTGGAAAGACGCGAGGAAGAACTCTGAATGTTCTCTGCCAAGGTTGTCGGCGGGATTGGAGGAGTCCGGCGACAATTGGGAAAGAAGCCTGACTGCTGGATCAGTTTTTGTTGGATGAGCGGGAGTTTGACCGTGGGAGCTGCGGTCGTGGGCTGGGTCTTTGAACAAAAAGTGACCAGCAAGCAAGCCAGGTGTTCACTTCTGGTCCAAAAATCCGTGCAGGGGTTAAGGTCCGTCCCCTCCACCCATTGGGTCCAATTCCCGTCCATTGATAGAAATTCGGTAATCTCTTTCTCCGACACCCGTTATCGATAAGCCCGTCAGCCCAAGTGGAAGGCGCTTTGACCACACCCAAACTCAAATGTCCTCTGCATCACAGGCAGGCACGCGGGTTCAAACGGTCGAGCTGCCTTAGTCACCCACCATATCATGTGACCAGCCTTCGACCCACTATCATGTTACGGATCTTAATGAATCTTATGTCAGCTATCTTACATCAGCAAGACACTTACCGAATCTCCTCTTTGCCTCTTTCCACTGTGGCGGCTCGCCCGAGACATTCTGTTTGCGCTAGAGTAACACGAGCAACTCTTCCAAAGTCTCTCGTCCACCAGTTTTCTTCAGACCAAACGATGACGAGGGACTCCGCCACAGTTCCCAGCAACGGTTTCCCGACCCTACTTTGCTAGTCTCGAGTCAACACACGCCGGAGACTTCTTTTCTCACGATCCGGCTGGGTCCCGCAACCACTACAGTCAGATTCATCGCGACAGTCGTCTAGTGATGCTGATTGCCCGAGAGGCTTTTATTAGATCCAGAGAAAATCGAGAGGGGCAACTCGCAAGTACTGGGGCAAATGCAAAGCGGAGCGGGACAGAAACAGAACACAACACCCTCTCTTGTTTACCTTACCTTGCATATTGTCCACAGTCGCCATCAGTCGGCCAGCCCAACGGCTTCGCCCTCCCCGTACAACCATCCAACGGCGATGGCGTCCTGCAGTATTAAACCGGAGACATGCTGAGCGACGATGGGAATTGTGACGGCACAACACATCCCCAAATCCGCACGTAGGCTTCCCGCGTTACCCTCCCTGCCGCCCGCGGTGCCTTGCATGCAACAATGATTTCTCATTGCTTCCCGTTCGCTCAGGTTGGAACATGTCACTGAGCGACTAGGCTAGGTTTATTGGTTTCTGTTTGGATAGACAGTCAGCCATCGCCCAGTGATTGGTCACAGGGCCTTATTAATTGCCCGACTGGAAACACGCACACACGGCGTCGAATTACCCTTCACTTCCCAGGCTTCAGCCCGTTGCCCTGTTTGTCAATGATATTCGACAAAGGTGTTCGTGGGCCCGGCGCCCCAAGAGATGACAAGGGGCGGTGACGGGTAAGGTGTGATGTATCGCAGCATGACGGTTCTTGACTGGCACGAGACCCTCGTTGCCTCCCTCCCCTCCACACCCCTCTGGTTAGCCCTCTGGAGCCCTCTCTGGAGGGGCACTTGTGGCAAGCAACTGCTGGTCAAGCTGGGCAGTCCAGCAACACAGAGCAAGGCAGAGGTGAGACATCGACTCGCTGAGCCATCGTCTTCATCTTACACGACTGGTGGAGCCCTGCAATCTGGTGCAGGATGGTGGTGTGCCGCCAGCCATCCGAATCCGACAAGACCCCAGCTTCCTAAGCGCCGGTTGGCCGGCCGTGTCTGGCCCGTTCTGCAACCCCGGCCTATCAGAACGGTCCGTCTGCATCTTGACTGCACACCTCGCCGACAACTGCTAGGCCCATGTCCCCTCCATGTCCCTCCATCTTCTTCTCAGCTGGACCTATGAAGCAAAGCACTTGTTCAAATCTCTTGCCCAAAGTGGGAATTGGGATTCAAAATGCCTCGACTGCGTGACAAAAAAGACATCAAGTCGGCCACACCCCAAGTGGGTTTTCCTTTGAAATTGCCTACTACCTGTTCGGAACTGTTCGCCTTCCACGACCAAGGTACTTGCATACCTTACCTTGCTTTGCCTCAAGGTCATCCGTACCCATTCTATTATAACTCAATCGGATCGCTCGCTCTCTTGACTCTTGTGCTTTGCCGCCCTCTTTGCATCTTCCCTTCTTTCGTTCTGTCAAATCGCTGGCCGTCTCTCGTTTTTTTGTCTTTTTTACCCCCCCGTCTCCAGCAAATGTCCGGCATGAAGCTATCTGTAAACCAGGTATTATGAAGGGTCTGAGTGGCATACTTGCAGACGCCTATGCGACATGGCTTTCGCCCCTCACAAACTGCTGCACTCCATTTTCTGACTCCGTAGAAGAGAAGCCGCGTCAAAGTGAGTTGTGCTCTTCGGGTTCCTGGTAGCAATACGCACAAAAAAATATCCAACTGCCGGTGGGACTAACACGCACACTCCGCTTAGACACCTTTGACATTTCTGAGAAACTGTCACCACCACACACCGTAACCCGCAACCAGCCCGTGCCCATGCCGCCGCCTTTTGCTGGGACAACAATGCAAAGGTCAGCCGGACCTCGTCCGCAGCCGCAGGGGAAGTCGAAAGGAGTGAAGAGAAGTTTCGCGTCGCTCCGGGAGCGGTTCTCTGTGAGAAAGCGATCTCGCTCAGACTCTTCGTCCTCCTCATCGCGCCGACTACAAATATCGGCCCCCAGCAACTTTCGCCATCTGCATTCAGAGTCCTTTCAGTTCCCCCAGTATTCGAACCTCCAGCACGTCGGCCGGACCCCGCCACCGCGTCCCATGCCGCGACCTCGCCCTTCTTCCTTTAGGCCGCTGGAGCTCAGCATATACGTGCACAAGAGGGAGCTCTCGCCGATTCTGCCGCACTTTGACATGCTTACGCCGCCGCCGCGGCCTGCTGCTCAGGTCCATGTCCGGCCGAATCCCGACGACGATGTATTCGGACCCTCGCATGAGCCCAACTATTCCCCCATGTCGTTCCATCTGCCCCGGAAGATGTCGGCGTCGCCATCCACCCTCGCTACCATGGCCAGCGATACGCCCCCGAAAATTCCGCCAAAGTCGAGGGCCCGGTCTCAGACGTCATCCAGCGCGAGCGCAGAGAGGATGAAGGAGCGGATTGCCGGAGCCATGCTCGAGGTCGACAAGCTCCAACGCGAAATCGAGCTAGTCATGGAGCGTCAGAGCATCTACGCCAGCAGCCGGCCTTCGACTGCCCATTCGATGGCACTGACAGCGCACGGTAAGCTCAGACAATACCAAATTTAGCACTTTTTCTCACGTGTGCGTTGTAACTAACAAAAAGGATTTTAGACCTGGAACCCATCCCCACGGTCCCCGCCCTCCCGCCATCTGCACCCTCTTTCGCCGAGCGCCTCAACCCCGGGGCCGAGCGCCCTCACACGGCACCACCCCGGCCGCCGGTGCACATTCCCCACCGCGGCATGGCCTTCGCCGACGCATCGGCCGCCTTCATCACCCCACCCCCGAGCCGCGGCAGAGAAAGCAACCGGCCGCCGCCCCCACCCCCACTACCCCTCGTCCTGAGACCCCCCCTCCGCAAGAAGAAATCATTCTCCCGGGTATCCAGCTGGCTTTTCCCCGGCGGAGGCAACGCAGCAGAGCAGCATAATAATCACCACGGACGGAGCATCAGCCACGATTCCATCACTAATTTTCCCCGCCCCGTCAAGGGCCGCGAGGGCTTCTACCAGTGTGTCCATGCGCCGCGGGACAGGCGCACGAGCGTGGACACGGCGTCGACTGTGTCGACGTGGGAGGAGTCGGACGACGACACGGGAGGAGGCCAGACTGTCCCGACGACGACGTGGTCGCCAGGCAGCACCCTCGCCACTAGAGCGGAGGAGCAGCAACCACCTCTGGAGCGTGTCACTACGTTTGGGAAGGAAAAAGATGCCGGTGGTCCTAGAAGGACCGGCTTCGCGGCGGTGTTTTGAAATCTTGGGATGAAGCAGTGGTTCTTTTTTTCTTGGTTTCCACCTATTTTCTTTCTTCTGCATGATACCAACGGTTTTTATTGGGAAAGAACAAGATACCATGTTGTAAATATTATGGACTAGACGGGGTTGGAGGCGGACTTTGTCTGTTTTCTGGATATCTAATGATGCTAGTGGCGCCTACGGTACGGCAGCATAGGATCGGGCAGGGCTCGGGGAATTATTGGAATGATGAGACGTTTTCTGATGGTGTCAAAACTGTCTCCCTCAAGGCTATGTGAGAGGCTACTCTAGAAATCACTGCGGTGGTTCGATAAGTAGTATACCTGCTTATACGTACGATCGCACGCAATTGTTGTTGAGACGCAGTGGATTTCAAGTGCCCTTTTGAGGAGCCCCAGCCGAGGCGATCAAACGACTCATAGGCGACCAAAAGCTCTGGCTGCAAACAATTAGACTCAGAGTAATTAGTTCAATGTCGTTTTCTTGAGACTGTATTATTGGAGCTCCGTGCACATTGCTTTCTCCCATGTCTTTTTTCTCTCGAATGCTCCGACGAAGCGTCATCTGAAGTCAGATCTTGAGCACCATCTCTTACGTCCGTCCATCTTAACTCGTCCGGTCTTTAGCCGAAGATAAAACCTTCAGCCAGATTCTTTTCAGTCGAAATGCAATGATTCATGCTACTGCGCTGCTTGAGGTGGGTATTACTGATGGCCATCTCAAAAGACGTGTTCCCGAGCTTGGCATGTTCATCACGTAAAAATCACATATTCGGGACACTCAGAAACGGCAAAAGTTAGCAAAGGGTCACCAAGCAGGAAATGGACGAATGATGTTTGCGATGGTAACTTCCGACATGGGGTCGTTCGATCCGGGAATGCCCACTGCCGAAGTCACCACGCCTTCCTCTTGCATGTAACCCCGGTAAAACCCCAGCTGCGTTGGAGCTCTCCCGTTTTAGACGTCTGATAGGACACTTTTTCGAGGCAGCATTTTACTCCTCTCCCAAACATCTTCAACATTTTTCTTACTCTCCTCACATGACTCTCCTCCTTATCGACAGACTTATCGAATAAAGCAGCCTTATTTGAACACGATGGGTGCGGGATGCTGCTCCGACGAGCCTACCAAGGACCATGGATGCGCGGGTCCTGTAAACGGCGGTGACCTTGGGCACGAACATGAAGATAATCCCAGGCTTGACGACTGCTGTGCTGGCGATGGAACATGCGAAGATGCTTTGGATGTGAACTGCCTGGATGAGAACTGCGATGCCGAAACTTTCTGTGATTCCGAAGACGATTCGACCTGTCGCTCTATCAAGCTCGAGTGCTGCACCTCCAAGGAAGAGCACTGTGATGGTACGAGAAATTCCCCGTGATGTCATGTGTACATTGTCTAACACCGTACGACAGAGAATTGTATCGTTGCTGCTGCCGCCGTCGAGTGCGAGAAATCCTGCGAAGACGACACAGCCCACGATGGTATGCTATGAAATCCTGGTCATCGTCAAGTGTGCTTACAGCTCACAGAAGTAGGTGCCCACGAGCATTCCCATGACAAGGACGGTCGCCATCCAGCCTCTGCTTGCAGCACCCATCTCTCCAAGGCTTTCGAGCAGTACAGCGCCTATCTCGAATCGGCCCGTTGCATTTGCCGCAGCATTCTTGATCGCGGTCTTCCAACCGCCTGCTGCAGCGAGCAAAAGCCCGCCGTCACAGCCGCAGCCTCTCCTGTGAAGTCTTCCGCCGGGAAGAAGCGCCGCGAACCTGCGGAGGCGCACACGACCGCGCATGCTCATAGCCAACACAAGCATCATCATCATCACGGGATTAAGCGACGTCGCAATAAATCGCAAGCCGTTCACGACCATGACATGGCCATCAAGCCTATTCGCGATGATCAGTCCGACTGCTGCAGCGGCCACGACGTTGAAGCTCCTGGATCCGCTTACGAGAAAGGAAACCTTGCCATTGATGGCAACATGGACAAGGACATCGAGAAGGATGCTGGATCCGAGCACGTTGCCCTCGTTGTCGACGGCATGACCTGTTCTGGATGCGGGAACAAACTTGAACGAACCCTCAAAGGGATACCTGGAGTGTCTGGTGTACGAGTCAACTTTGTCATGGGCAGCGCCGAGTTCACTCTTGACGGTTCTGCAGGAAAGGCCGACGACATCATCCGCAACACCGAACGGGCGACGGGCTTCCATTGCACTCGAATGTCGAGCGATGATCAGACGCTGGACATTCTCGCCTCGGGCCCGTCTGCTAAGGCGCTGACTGACCTGGCGATCGTTGGTATAAGCGAAGTGAGCTTGATTGACAAAAGAACTGCGAGAGTCATCTACGACCCAGCTGTTATTGGAGCTCGAACGCTTTTCAACAAAATAGGACCGCACTCTACTGGACTAGCTCCCCCTCGCGATGACTCGTCCATCGCAAGTGGAAGAAAGAGGATGTATGATCAACTGATCAAGACGGCCGCCGCGGCGACTCTCACCATTCCCGTCGTTGTTCTCGCTTGGGGCGAGAAGCTTGAGCCCAAGACACGCTCGATTATTTCGATTGTCTTGGCGACTTTCGTTCAGCTCATAGCCGTGCCAGACTTTTACAAACCAGCCATATCATCTCTCGTGCACAGCGGCGCTATTGAGATGGACATGCTGGTTGTCATCAGCATCACGGCTGCATATGTCTACTCGGTTGTAGGATTTGGATTTCATATGGCTGACCGGCCACTCGATCCCCGCGAGTTCTTCGAAACGAGCACCCTCCTGATTACACTTGTGCTTCTCGGCCGCTTGACTGCTGCTTACGCACGCATTCGTGCCGTTGCTGCCGTGTCCCTGCGTTCGCTACAGACGTCAACTGCAGTTGTTATTGAAGATGGGAAGGATGTTCAAATCGACGCCCGCCTCCTCCAGTACGGCGACAAGTTCAAAGTTCTCCCGAACTCGGTTGTCCCTACAGACGGCCTTGTGGTCACTGGATCGAGTGAGGTCGACGAGTCTATGCTGACTGGTGAGAGCGTCCCGGTCTTCAAAACATCGCGTGACACTGTGATCGCAGGCACCATCAACGGATCCGGCACTCTGATCGCCCAACTTACTCGTCTCCCTGGAAAGAACACCGTTACCGACATTGCCGAACTAGTCGAGGAAGCAGCAAATTCCAAACCAAGGATCCAGGACGTTGCAGATCGTGTCGCAGGGTGGTTCGTGCCTGTCGTCACGGCCGTTGCCATTGTTGTCCTTGTTGTCTGGACCGTCATCGGTGTCAGAGTTCATGGTGAACCGACTGGGAAGTCGATCTCCACTGCCATCACCTACGCTATTGCTGTCCTCGCTGTCTCTTGTCCTTGCGCACTCGGCCTTGCGGTGCCTATGGTCTTGGTTGTGGCCGGTGGCATTGCCGCTAGAGGAGGTGTCATCATCAAATCAGCCGAGTGCACCGAGAGGGCTCGAAAGGTTAGCGATGTCGTATTCGACAAGACTGGGACCATAACTGAGGGCGATCTTGACGTTATCGAGGAACAGATTCTGCTTGCCGACCATGACGAGGCTCGTGCCATCACCAAAGCCCTTGTGGCAGGCAACAACCACCCCGTGTCTACAGCCCTGGCGAAATACCTTGCCTCACGGGCAACCCGCGAAGTCAAGGTTACCGATCCTCGAGTCATCCCTGGCGCAGGTGTTGAAGCAAGCTACAATGGCCTCAAAGTCTGCGCCGGAAACCCCTCGTGGACTGACGCCAATGCTCTGCCTTCCGTCATTCGTTTCCAAGAGTCGAACATGACGATCCTCGTCATCACCAGTGACTCTATCCCTATTGCCATATTTGGATTGCGCACACGTCTTCGTTCGGAAGCAAAAAAAGTTGTCGCTCAGCTCACACGTCAAAACATTGCCGTTCACTTGGTTTCTGGTGACCAAACTCAAGCCGTTGAATCTGTCGCCGCCCAAGTTAGCATCCACAATGTGGCGTCTCGGCGCACCCCGTCGCAGAAGCGTGACTATGTTGCCTCGTTAATGTCAGAGGGCAAGATCGTCATGTTTGTCGGCGACGGAACCAACGATGCGGTGGCAGTCACCCAGGCTGATGTAGGCGTTCAACTTGGCAGCGCAGCTTCAGCCAGCGATGTCACACGCGGAGCTGCAGATGTAGTTCTCCTTGCAGGCCTCGAGGGTATCCCCTTCGTGCTTGAGGTCAGCCGCGCCAGCTTCCACCGCATGGTGTTCAACTTTGTATGGTCGGCCGTGTACAACGTGCTCGCCATCTTGCTTGCCGGAGGCGCGTTCGAGCCTGTCCACTTCAAGATCCCTCCCGCATATGCGGGCTTGGGTGAAATGGTCAGCGTGATCCCTGTCATCGTCGCTGCCCTGACAATGTTGGGGAAGAAGATCCGAACCGAGGTCTAAGGGGCAGGTGTTGAACACGTGTGATGAGGCCTGGCTGGCACGTTCAACACCTGCGGGCTGAGGCATAGGTCGATTTTTTCTTTCTCGTCATTACTGGTTGATGACGGCTGTTCTGGGGGATAGGGATTCAACACCACCGACAAACGCAAAGGGATTGAAGTCTGGTCTGGCATTTTGCTTACTTTGCTTCGTTTACGAGTGCGATGAAGTTACTAGAGCAACCACGACTTGGTAGCTTCACTGGGCTTCTCACTTCCGCTCGCTCTGAGGTAGTTCTTACTACAAGAAGACGTTCAACGTGCCGAGGTCTGCCACTCTGGTGCATGGCTAGAAGAGGTGACCAATCGATTACGGGAATATAAATACAAGAGACTGCAATTGCTTGTCCGACCCTCATTTTGCTTGTGTGATGATTTCTTGCCAAGTTACGCCCTCGATGCGAAAATAGCCTCATTGTCATTCATGTGTCGAAAGATGTGTTTATGGGATACACGAGATGAGGCTCATCACAGATTCTCTGAAAACTAATCTCTTTCCATCTCTTCCAATTTAGCTGAACCTGACATGGCGGCTT